CACTCGCACATAAATTACTTATACTTGATGATGACAAAAGCTTGTCAAAACGTTGTATATGTGTTTCTTTCAAGCAGTCTCCAAACTTTATTTTCTAAGAAACTAAACCTACAGACATCGGTCTTGTTTAACAAAATATATATATATATATATTGCTACATGTTAATTCTTGTCTGTGTATATTATGTATGGATGGTGCAAATGTTATCCCTGGTATCTTGTTTGCATTGTTTTTGAAGGATTGATATTAACCATCCCTACATTTACTTCCTTTTTTGAAAAGTTTTTACTTCACTTGTATATTTTAATAAAGTGTTTCAATAGACACAGGAAGGTTGTTTTTATAACCACATTCTAAATACAATGTGGCTCCAAGTGCAATATTATTGTGTATCTATTACTGGCTGGTAACTACTGTTTCAATATGTACTTAAGCATTTTAAAGAAACACCAAACTTCTGTAAGAAAGCTAGCTTCAAGGGGTAATGATAACATCTTAACAGTAGAATTATTACTTTTTAAACTAATACTAGCTAATAATAATTACAAAAGCAGATACTCCATTTGAAACTATATCACCTCATTGAAATTGGTTGACACCATTGTTTTGGTTTTTGAGTTATCATGTGATAAAAAACAGAAGAAAAACAAGAAATTCAAACTTTTTGTTATGATAGTTACAGACATTCCCAGGACTTGTGACTCAGTCACTACATAGACATTGTTATACAAGAAAACACTGTATAGTATTGTAAAGTTCAGATGACCTATTGAGAAAATATTTAAAATACCATTTCAATAAATAATCTGATCCATCACTAAATAGGCAGTGTTACCACCTGCCTGATGATGTCACAACAAGTGGATTATACAGTAACTTATACATTTCAGCTTTGAAAGTATATAGAACAAGGCTAAAAATGATTGCATAGAAAAAAATTCTTGTCTATCTATGCCAATGTAAAGTTAATATAGTGGTGTATGTAATAATTTATGGTTTCTGTGAAAGCAATTAGCAGAATATCTTATAATGGATAAACTAAGAATTCTAATATGAATATTGAAAAGACTAAGTCACAAACCTGGAAATATTTCGTTTAGTTTTTTTTATGCTCTTTTCACTTGTGTTATATTATTTCTATTTGGAAGTTACAGGAATATTCTTTTATGAATGGCATAATATAAGGATATTTATGATTAATGAATACAGCAAGCTATTTGTTATGGCAAACTATTTAGATGATAAAAAACCTTATTTTATTATGTGCATTAGTAATGTGATTTTTACCAAAACAAAACATGGTACAAGAACTCCTTAGTTCTTGAAAATAAATTATAATTATTAGAGAAATTAAGCTTGACTAAAAATACAATTGGAAAAATACCAGTTATATCAGCATAGGCTTAGTATGTGAATGCAACTAACAGTCAATGCTTTAACTGTTCCTCGATAATTCAGGCTATTTTCGTGGCTACATAACAGCTTCAGTGGGAAAATATAACTAACTAATATAAAATTAAAATATATATCAAGTTCTATATACTTATTTCATATTTTCCAATAATTACTTTCATTCTATGTTTGAGATGGTATGAATAAACGAGAAAATGAATATGTTGTAACTACAACAAACAGAAAATAAAAAGTTTTACTGAACAAATAACACTTCTCAATACACCTACAATATTTTTTGTTTATTTTCAAACTTTAACACAAATTTGCAATCTACAAATTACTAGACCACATTATATAATATTTTTTTGAGCACAAACAAGATAAAGGGTCAATAGTGTGTGCCAAATTTCATGAAATACTGATTAAGCAATTTAAGTGTGTGAAAAAAAAAGAACAAAGATTATCATGCCATCAACCTGCTTGATCATTAGGGGTTAACAGTTTAAAAAGGTATATTTCTTTCTCTGTAAATTCTGTTTTTTTATTTGTTTGTTTGATCAGGATAAGAGAGTTCAAAAGATTTAACTGTTACAAGTAAAAAGATAATATGTAATTCCATCTCAGTATCTTGACTTTTTTATTTAGAATAATGGCACTTCTTACCATAAAAGTACAAAAGACTACATTAAAAGTAGACAAAAACAAATGGGTTGAAAGATAAACATATTTAGATATTTATAATTCCAGTCTTGGAATCAGGTTCAAAACAAAACAGTAACACAATTTTTTTTACCTGATATCTCAGCTGCTTCTATAATTTGCCAGATTCCATTAGCTATAATCACCACAACTAAAAAATAAATAAATATAATACTGAAAGTAATCTCAAATTAACTTATCAAACAAATGGTGCCTGAGCTATCAAATATTTATAAGTTAGGAACATAAAATAGGTTCATAAAGTTGTTTTATTATGCATAAAAAACAAAGAAAAATAAACCTCTTATGTATGGAATATATATATATATATAAATATACGATTTTGCTTAAAAATCCTCTATTGTCTGAAATACAATAATGTTACTAAACAATAATTAACCTTTGACAGTTGGAAAATTTAACCTTAATATTCTTTAATACCTGAAAAACATAAAATTATTTAATCTTTCACATTTTACATTTAAATAAAATTGCTTTCCCAATACAAAACAAATATTTAATATCCAGAAGATTATAGAATTGCTACTTAAATGTTCTGAAAAATTATGGAATAAAATCCTCAAATTTTATTTTAGTCAACATACTGCAATTTTAAATAAAAGAAGAGTTTCTGCTTCTTGCTCCTATATCAAAGAACTTAAAATTAAGTTGAATACTACACAAAATTGAATCTTTTGAACAGTAGTATCATTGAAGATTTTCCCTCGACTTTCATGAAAAATCAGTATGAAACAGATTAAGAGTTTTCTGAGTGCATAGTTGATATGTAGACCTTTAGATCCATAATTTTGCTACCAAATACCTTGTGTCATACTAAGTGAATTGATACTGTGAGTCTCTCTCTTTGTTCTGAACACTTCAGACTTTAAAATGTTTGTAATAATGCATAAAAATTATTAACTCAAACTCTGCTTAATATAATGTATTTTTTCCTTCTTGTTAACAGCCACTTTTAAGAAAACATACAACTAATACCTTTAAGTTGGAATCTAAAGTGCTGGTTGTATTATGTATCTTATTTCAGAAAGCTACCATTGTTTATTCACAAGCTAAGAATGTGTGGACACCTTCTATTTTGGCAGGTAATGAAAAAAAATTAACATTTGCACTGGCTCAATTTGCACAGCAAGTACAATAATGAAAAAAAAGCAGTTATTTTAAAAGTAAAAAAAAATGTAATATCAACAGGATAGTAAATGAAACAGCTTGTTGATAAGTTGTTTTTCTGAAGCTCATATTTGTTGAGCTGTTGGCCAAAACTTTGTACTCAAGTATATACACATCATCCAAGCTTAATTACTGGTAATTTAAATTTTTAAGCTTTTGGCATATAAAGAATACTTTATAACAAATTCAGTAACTTACTAATGAGGTAGTTGAACCATTTGGAAACAACAAGCTGATGAATTGCTGTAAGTAAATACAAAAGGAAGAAAAAGCTAATTAGAAATAAAGTCACAAAAACAAGACTTACAACATCTTCACAATGCGATAAAAAAACAAAAACATGAGAGAGGTAGATATAATCACCATTTTGTAGGGAGGAGTGTAACTAAATTGGTTGTTACCACTGACACTTATCTGAGATAAGTATGCTTTTGACTAGTGAATTATCATAAATTGAAAATATCTGATTGAACATTGCCAAAAGCGATAGTGTTGTTACTAAACATAAACAAAAGGTAATTCTGAATTATACTGATCATCTATATGTTGTTATACCAAAATCCATTTGTGGAATATTACACTTTAATAAATAACTTGGTAAAAATTACACAGCTTATTTAAAGAAAAGAGGTAGAATACATTATATTATATCTCTCCACACAGGCTCAGTTGAATCAACCAAGTTCTTAACTATTTTGTACAAATTACAGTTTCTGTACTATAACGTTTAATACAGAACATGTATCTTCACAAAATTTGGCAGATTTTTGTACACAAAAATTAAGTTTTTAATGAAGTATTTTTAACAAACATTTGTTTGTGAATATATGAAGAAGTTTTGTTTACTGGTCCGATTGCACAGTGACTTTCATGTTACAATTATAAATACTTTTATTCACCTGAAAACTTTCAAATTTTATTTTAATAATCTCTAAAACCCCCTAAATAATTATAAAACATTATTTTTCAGTAAAACTTTATATCTTATCTTGTTATTTTTTCTGCCCTAACTATATATACAAGGTTGTCCAATTTGACTGACCTCATTAAAACACACACACACACACACACATAAAAATCAAAGTAAATCTAAATTAGCTCTTCTTTCTTTCTAAAATGACTTCAAATTATAGTAAGAAACTACATATGTTTATCCTAAATAGCTTTAAACTCTTACCAGTATACATCTGATCATACTTAAATTTTATTGTTTTATTTCACTTTGAACTGTGTCTAAATTAATATTCCCACCATAAAATTTGTAAATCAATTGGTGAATGTGGAGGTCATGTCACCCTACTGAATTACATAATGCACAGGCTACTGAAGAGGGTACAATCTCAAAAATAATTATTATTATTATTCTTTCTTTTACCTAATCTAACTGATTATCTAATCTAAAAAGTTTCTCATTTTTACATTTTAGTTACTTTTATAATAATAAACAGATAATATACACATGAAAAACAAGATATATAGTACTCACCTGGGTCTTTTTTTTTGCTGTCAACTGTCCACTACACTTAACCCTACTTTTTTATACTAATGATATTACTGCACTAAATAATTTCTTACTTAATTAAATAATGCACACAGAATAGTAACATGGGAAAAGCAGACAATGTTCCATAACTATAGTAATTTTTCTGGCTTTTTTTGCATCAAAATCCATTAAACCTTCAGCTAAGCTCATCAATGTGTTTCCTGTTTCATTTGATAGATTAGAACCTTGGCTTTCTATTGGTTATAAATAACATAGTATTAAACATCAAAGGGAACTATTGAAATTTTTGGTAAGAGAGGATGTGATAGGTGAGCATGGCAAGTGGGATCTGATTTTGTATTTGATGGCTCTGTAACCAAATAAGATTGAAGAGGATAAAAATTTTGCTTTGCCTGGGCAATTACAACATTATAATGAGTAATTACATTAAGTGTCATCTTCTTGGAGGGGTGATAAATAAATTAGGGAAGACAGGATACCTAGAGAGAAAATATCAAAATTCTCATGCTGGGGAAAATTGAGGATTTTTTAAAAATATTTCCTTATAAAATTAAGAACCTAAATCGTTTTTATGTCAAATTCATTTATATACCAAGTTAATAAAGTACTTTAATTAAATTTTGAATATAACTAAAAAATGATGTCTATCCTGAAAAGAATCTTGGAGTGTCACTAAGTCTTTACTGTTCTACTGTTCATGTTTCCAAGACAGGTCAGGCTCTGTCTGAAAACAATGCATCATGACTCAATCTCTGTAGCACAATTTCCATTACAAAAGGCTCCATCATTTATTCATTATGTCAAAAGTATGCCACTAATTTCTAAATGTCATACATAGACCACCCTATTTACAAAGGCGATGCTTACCAGCACCCACTTAAGAAGGCTGATTAGATATAAATCCATTGGTGCTGCATCTGGCAAGTTCACCAGCTGTCTTTGTATAGAATAGCATGAATAACCATTTCTTTTTTTAGCAAAAGTTGAACAAATATGTTGTGGAAGGAACTTGTGTACATGTGACCTGTGTAGCTTTTCCAAATGAAGATTTTTCTTGATAATTGTACACTGTTGCCTGGGACATATGGATGGCTTTTGCCACAAACCTTTTTGCTTGTGGGTTAGTACCTGTGAATCTGCTACTAGATGCCATACTTTGCCTTCCAAAGTTGGAGCATGAATTGTTGCAGGTCTTTTTCTGGATAATTGTTATGCCCCAAGCTTTTCTAAAGCTATTAAATACAAGGGATATCCCTGATTTAGAAATTATAAATACAGAAAGGGCTGCTATATACATTAATTATAAAATGCTAAATAATGTAAAAATCTGGTTCTGATAAATTCTGTTCCACTGCAACTTTATATTGGGTTTGGTTGTCACGACTTACTGATTTGCATACTCAAAATCATTTTAACTCCTTCCACATGGGCTTGATCAAATTGACTGACCAGGTGACCACTTTTGTATTTATTTAAAGATGTTATACTTTTGATACTACTAACTTTTAATATAGTACATGTATGTTTACAAAATTTGGCAGACTTTCAGTAAACATTACAAGTCTTTCACATACAAAAAAAAATCAGATTTTATAGTGAAGTATTGTAAATAAACTAAAAAAAGATTTGTCCATGAATTTATTGACTCTATTTTCTTATTAGTCTGAGTGCAAAGTGATTTTCCTGTTCAGATTAAAAATACTTCTCTTTATCTCCAAAACCTCAAATTTCATTTGCATAATCCTCAAACCTCCTAAATACATTTTAAATGTTTTTTCAGTAAAAATTTATATTTTATCTGCTATTTTCTCTATCCTAACTCTATATGGTTTTAGTCAATTTGACCGACCAACTCATAACTGTCATAAAAATTATAAAATAAATCTAAATTACTCTCTCTTTTGTTCCAGAATGACTGCAAATTATAACAGGAAACCACAAATGTTTATTTCAAATAGCTTAATTCTCGCAACAGTATACATCTATTCATATTTATTAATTTTTGTTTTACTAGCTTTTGAACTGTAGCTGACTAGAAATACCCTGACACAAGTTAAAAATTACACGTGCAAATGCAGCTCATGTTACTGTATCGAACAGCGTAATGCACAAGCTGCTTGCTAGTGTGGCCTTGAAGATTTTTAATGTTATTTTTCCTTTCCTTACCTAATAAGCTTCTTTTTTTTTACATTTTAGTTACTTTTATAATAAATAAACAAAACAAATGAAAAATAATAAACCTCATAATTAAATACCAAATACTTTTTTCAGCAAAGCTATATATTTTGTCTATCATTTTCTCTACTGTAAGATTATATTTGATTCTCCAGGTTGTAAGACAAGTTATCAAAATATAGTGAAAATAAAGGTGGCAAAGTGCAAAATAAAATGTATAATATTGTTAATATTGATCACAAAGTTTTGAGGGACTTATGGTCAGAGTTTATACTTCTCACCTTTTCACACTTATTTTTTGTAGCAGTTTTATTGTTAGGAGCTGACTTAGAAACTAGATAAAACAAAATGAATAGTAGTACTATCTGTCTTTTTCAGTATGGATCACCAAGTTCCAAAGTAAAATTCCTGAGAGTTTCTTATAATATTTTCCCACTCACTTATGTTTATTCTACTTTAGCAGCTGAAGTAGAAACCTGCCAAATATAAAGCAATGAATCACCTCTCCTCACTTAGTTTGACACCATCAATATCAAATAAGCTCATGCAGTGCAGTTCCCAGAACTTTCCCTGCTTTGAAAACACAGCAGGGTAGGATTTATGAACTTGTTGACATTATAATGGTTTCAATGACAATTGTCTAAAGTATTATAAAATTTTTATGTTATAACTTTGTAGAAAGTCTGGGCCGATCCAATAAGCAGACATTTTCTACAAAGTCTATTTGAATCCTGGCACTGAGAACACAGTGGGGTAGAATTTATTGGCTTCTTTATAGTATAGTGGTTGCAACAAGAATTGTCTAAAGTACTTTATAAAAGTGAAGGCAAATATTTATGATATGGCTCTGTACAAATTTATATAACTTATTAGGTATTTGGATGTCAGTTCACCTCCTGGGTGATCGGGATTTAGTGTTAGTATAGGGCCCATTTTGGTTGAGCTATTATTTTTGGCTTAGCCTTCTTGCTTATCACTTTAGAAACAAATAATTCAGTGATTATTTTTTGTTTGAATGAATAATACTAAAAACCTCTCTATAATAAACAAAGTACAAATCTGTTACTCTTAACACTAGTGTACCAGTATTTTGTAAAATACAGTCACATTTCGGTTACTATACATTGTATATGTATAACTATTTTCAAATAAATACTTAAATGTCAGTTATTTTTCTTAAAACAAAAATTAAAAAGCATTTGTAAAACAATGATCCCTATTACTTACGATGCTACATAGTCTTTGTTTGCACTCATAAGTCGTACTTGCTAATCCTCGTCCAAATTCACATGGAGATGGAAAAATAATTTTTATTGCCTTTATATATCCACTTGGGAAAACCAAAAAATCAAATTACTACATTGATACCTCAAAAATTCACTGTAATTTACTGGGCTTCCTAACTAAACTGTATTTGGATGTAAAAAATCTAATTTCTGTCCAGCAATACTTCAAAATTTCCAACGATACAAGAGCTTTTCTCTTGCAAATAGCTTAGGAAGAGTGACAGAATTACATACAGCTTTCAACTGGTTATAAAGTTATTGGTATACAAAAGTAGGAGTAGATAAACAAGTCTTCTCAATTGATGAAGTGACAGGCAGAGCCAATATGGTTGATTCGCTAAATACCAAGATATCTCAGCAAATAGAAAAGGCAGAAGGTTCTTATTTTATATTCTAGCTTGCCAATATATCGAAAATTTGAGGGCATTATAAAATGTAATGTGACCAAACCCAGAAGGCGATGTACCACGTGACACACAAAAATTTATAATTAGCCTTTGAAATAAGTATTTGAATTATAATCTACAATTGGATACCAAAATTATTGCCATACACTTATAATAATTAAATACAATTTTAAATATAGGACAATAAATGTGATGACATGCCCTCTGACCATTACCTGTGTCCATAGGGTTAATAAAACATAATTAACCCTCTGTACTTGGATATTTTATTTGTGTTTCCTTAAAAAATAAAAGAATGACATTATCACAGCAACCTTGCAAATGCAATTTATGATAACAACTTTAGCTTCATTATTCTATCTGTTATTGTATTTATAATTTGAACAGGTTCACTACTAATTTGGCACTTACAAGAGAAAATCTCCAAAAATGGACTACAGGATTCACTAAACCATGGAGTTTCATTTTTCTGAGCCTAAATTAAAGGAAATATTATGCAACATTTAGAAACTTCCACCAGAACAGATGTAGTTTTTTTTTTATCAGAACAGAATAATCAAAATCATAACTAGAGTCTTTGCCCTACAAGTACTGAAAAAGATAGAAGTGTGTTTAGAGACTACAGATTATGACTTGATGAATTATTTTAAGAAACAAAAAGGTGATATACACAATACTGGTAACTAAAGTAGTGTTGTAGTTAAGCTATTGAACACAGATTTATGGCATTTCTAAGAGCTTAATTCATAATCTTTTAAGACTACATGATTTAGTGTGCATGAAGTCTTTGATAAATCCTTATGATGATACACTGACAAAAATTGGACAGCAGAAATACATTAAGTAGGGATGCATGGGTACCCGACCAGATAATTGGCCCTGGCTGAGTACTGGGCTACCGGCAATACTCGGCTCCGGCCAAGCATCAAAGTTAAAAATAGCTGAATCCTGATAACTGAAAATAGCATCTAAGCCCTAATCTTTGTGGCAACTTACGCAGTACTGATAGTTATAGTCAATAATTGGTTTAGTTATAAAATGTGTTCTGAGCAACAAAGACTGACCACTCACTGAAAGTTGGGGATTCAGAGAACAATAGGGGTTAGGCTTTGAGAAGTTGGGGCTAGGCATTAATCAGCATAATGATTCTAAAATGTGTCAACATCACTGTTTCTGCATTTAGTTTCACTGATCTCTGAAATCACACAGAGTTGGTAAGTAATTTTCAATCTTTCTACCTCAATAGATATTAAATTCCAAATATGTAAGTTTCATTAGCTTTCCACCCTATATATATATTGCTGTTGCCCTCAGGCTTTTCAACTTAGTTCATCACTGCTTCTTGCTATCATGCAAAGTTTAATTTTACCTTCTTTGAGTCTAAAACTTAATTTTAACTTGTTATTTTTGTAATTTTTCATTCCAACAGTAAACATCACTAGCTTGGTCTGAAGATATTTTGAGTTAGAAAACAAGGCGGATCATTTCGCAGAGTGCAACACTTCGCTCCACCATGATATTTTGGGGTGGCATATCACCCAAGATGTTTGGAACCAAATCACTGAGAAATCATCTCGCTTCATTTCATAAAGAATTTGCAACCATGCAGAGCAATGAAAACAAGAACAAGATGAGAAAGCATGAAGACGAAGATGCCGCTGCTGAAATTTCCATGGCCAAGAGGAGTAAAACTGAAACTCTCGAGCAATGTCTTCAGAAGATGGCCCATGTGCATCATTGATTCCTCATGCCATTAGCGAGATGATTGTGCTTGATGAGCAACCGTATTTGGTGGTTGAAAATGAATAATTCCAACATCTAATTGCCATCCTAAAGCCTTGTTATAATCGATTGTCCCAACGTCACTTTTTGGACTTTGCAATGAATTTGAAGGAAAATTGAGAATTGCCCTTGAAGAATCTCTCATGCCACAAGTCAGCATTACTAGAGATGCATGGACTTCTGATGGCAACCCTGTGTCCTGTCTCGCTGTAACTGCTCATTGGATTGACAGAAACTGGGATTGACAGCTCATGCTTCTATCTCTTAAGCAGCTCCAAGAGTCACACACACGACTAAACTTGTTGAAAGACTTTCTCAATCTGCATGGGAAGTGGGATCTGCAACCCCAGCATGTTCATGTCATGCTCCAAGACAACAGCCGCAACATCACAAATGCCTTAAATCTAAGCAACATACTCAATGTGGAATACATGGCTCATACCCTGCAACTTGTGACACACCATGGAATACTAAAGCAGAAGTTTGTTGAAGATGTACTCTATTGTGGACGATCTACTGTTGGTCATTTTAAACAATCATCTTCTGCCTCAGAAAAACTAAAAGAGATTCAAGCAAGCATAAATCTTGTCCAGCACAAATTAATGCAGGATGTGCCAACAAGGTGGAACAGCTCTCACAACATGCTCAAATGCCTGGTTGAGCAAAAACAAGCCCTGACGATCTATGCTTCTGACCATCACGTCCGCACCTTTACTCAATCTCAGTAGTCCATAGCTGAAAATTTTTCTTCTATTCTTGAGCCATTCAATCAAGAAACAAGGAATTTGAGTCACCCAAATACCTTTGCATCCCAACAGCAAAGATTTTGAAGAAAAATATTTCTGACCCAAAATTCAATAGTCTGCTCACATTGAGAAATTCTCTATTAGAACCAATGGATAAACGATTTGCCTCCTGAGTGGAAACCGAAGTTTACACAGTCGCAATGTTAAGTGACGTGCATTACAAAGCCCATTACTGTCTGACAGAGATAGGGAAAGCCTAAGTTGCTTTCATTACAACAAACTCATGATCTCTCTGACCTAGAACTCTCAACCGATAAGTCCTATAATGTACTCATACTCAATTTTGTTTCTAATTTTTGTGTATGTTGATTATTTTTTTTGATGGGATGGACAAAGGGAGAACTCGGCCCTGGCCGATGGTTAGTGGCCTGGTACCCGATCCTGGTATTTGGCCAAATTTTACTACCAATGCATCCCTACAATTAATAACTTTCACCAGTTTAAAAATACCAATATATATATTTTACTTCTGTCATATTCATCTGAACATTTTTAACAAATAAACATTGAACTATTGTTTCTGTAAAGATAAAAATAAACAAACTTCTTAGCCTTTTATCTTGCACTTTAGTTTACTCATTATCATTTAACTGTCTATGCTTGGTCTTGATCAAACTGATGAACCTTGTAACCACAAAGAATCTGAATTTTCTAAATATATCTTCATAAAATTTTACAAGTTTTTAATAAACATTACAAGTCTGTTGTACTAAAAAAGTCAAAATTTTTAATTAAGTATTTACAGTGAAGATCCAACTGGGAACTTCCACAGCTTTTACTGAGTCAATATCAGTTCAAAGTGATCTTCCTACTAATAGTAAAAATACTTTTTCATCTTACAGTTTTGATATTTCATTTGCATAACCTCTAGAACCTCCTAAATCAATATCAAATTTTTCAAATTAAAATCTTATCTTTTATCTATTCTTTTTTCTATCCTACGACTAACTGTAGCAAACTAATGATGTACAGTAAAATAAATTGTTCACAATTATGAGATAAAATTAATAATACCTTTCTTTCTTATTCTTCTTTGAAGACATCACTTGGCTATATTTTTCACTTTTGTCTATTCATTATTTCAACTGTTTACCTTTTCACACACAGATTATTTTTAGTTTTACTGCTTAGTTTGTATGATATACAATTTATTCATCTCTGAAACAAAACATTACAGTGGGAACACATTAGCAGGTTTCCATACTTTGATGCACCATGTTCATGAATCTCTGCAATTGAATGCTTAGCTAACTAGCTTTAGTTTTTATCTTTATTAAAAAAAACAAAGTTGTATGCCTTTCAAGTATGCATTTTTGGATATAAGTAATACATAAATCACAACTATAATTTAATTGGCTTTTCAACTAAGCTATAAATAGATTTTTAAAAATCTTTAATGCTATTAGCATCAACTTTGCTTAGAACATACACAATAATCACTTCCTCTGGACAAACATCTATTATTGCCAAATTCAAAATGATGCTTACAAGCTAGAAATAGGAAATAAGCTTTCTATTGGTTATAAACATGAATGTCAAAAGTTAAGCCATAGCTTCTGTTGAATTGAAAAAATTTATTCATATCTCACTAAACAAAATAGTTAAGATGTAGAAAATGTACATTTAACCTTGGAATTATTTACAGATTGTGTTTACATTACTTAGATACCATAGATGCTATACTACTGAAGTTATACAAACTATAAAGGGGAAGAGTTGAGTGCTCGCATGTTACATTTTACTATGAAGACAAAACATTATGTGTGTGTTAGCATCTATCACCCAGAGTTGGCTGACTTGATTACCATAATTATTTGTATGCCAACTGCCCAACAGTATACATCAGCTATTTTGCTTTAGGATTTTTGTCTAAGAAGGGGATAAAAAGTCCCCGATACAGGGAACATTTCAATTTTTTTATAGATTTTTGGTTTCCATCAACCACAGATGGCTGGCTCAATTACTATAAATATTTGTATGGTAACTGGAAAATTCCCAACAGTGTACATGGGCTATTTGTCTTATGATTTTTATCTAAAAAGTAGGATAAAAAACAACAACCCTGAAATAGGACACATTTCCATTGTTTTATAGACTTTTGGCTTTGAATTTAAAAATACAACTACTTAACCAGTTAAATGAGTCAATTATTACCTTCCACAAAGTAAGGTATACAATTAACATCTAATGAGGTGATTAGGAATTTAATAATAAAAGGAAAAGGGCCAGGCCCATACAGATTTAACAAAAACCTTTGAACATTAACTAAGTATAATACATTTTGTAAGTTATTTTGATTTTCATTCTTCTTTAATCTAGTGTACTAAGTTGAATTACATATCTAAGGTCATATCAACTTACAGTAGGTGCATTTTTGGAAAAAAAACAAAAAAAAAAACCACCTTCCAATTAAGGGCTTCAACCTCATACACTTGGTAAAACTCATCCAAGGTTAGGTATCCTGTTTTGCTTGAATCCAATGTTTTGAACATTAAATAGATGTCTCTCCTGCCTGTAAAAAAGAAAAGGATAATAGAAGAGATACATTTTCTAACCTGTGAGGAAATACTGGAATATGGGGAGATAATAAATATTTTATTTACTGTTTTCAAAATGTTTACTTACTTGATTTTAGAGCTTCTTGTTCTTGTCACAAGGTTTTACTGAATTACTTTCAAAATCTAATCAAAGTACTTTATTATCATGGTATACAAATAAACTTAGTATCGAAAGAAAGCTAATAATCCAAATTTTAACAGTACACAAGTTTTAGGTTCTTAATTTTATGAGGCAATATTTTTTATAAAAATCTTCAATTTCCACTAGTATGAGAATTGTGACATTTGCTCTCTAGGTAACTCTTCTTCTCCAATTTATTTAACACCCCTCCAAGAAGTATGAAATTGAACATAAATTACTTATTATAATATTACATATTTATAGCCTTCAATCTTATTTATACACTAGAAATATTATAAACTAGAAAAATCAAACACTTCTTGCTACACCCACCTGTCACATCTTCTTTTTCACAAATTGCCAATAGTTCTTTCTGACATTTAATATTATATTATTGATAACCAACAGAAAGCCAAAGTCTTAATCTATTAAATGATGTATTATATTACCCCGTTTTCTGTTCAGATAGTTGTCCATTTTGCTTCCAGTTCACAGGAAACACATCAATTCGATGAACTTAGCTCAATTTTTAAGGGCTTTTGCTGCATAGTTAGAAAGCCAGAAAACTTGTGATTGTTATAAGGAATTGTCTGCTTTTTTTGCAGGTTATTATTCTGTGTTCTTTGGTGGATTATCAAATTAAATTAAAAATTATTTAGTGTAGTAGTACCATTAGCATAAAAAAGTAAGTTACATTTCATTGATATTCAATAGCAAAAAAACAAAAAACAAAAAAGACCCAGGAAAGTACTATATTTCTTGTTTTTCATATGTATTCATTGTTTATTATTATAAAAGTAGCTAATATATAAAAAGTAAAAACTTTTTAGGTTAGATAAAGTAGAATAAAGAATAATAATAATAACAATAATAAAAATATTTCATGAGGTATACTTGCAAGTAGCCTGTGCATTATTAATTCAATAGGGTAACATAAATTCCATGTTTGCTAATTGCTTTACAAATTTTATGGCAGGAATATTAGTTAGACATGGTTCAAAGAGCAATAAAACCATAAAAATTAAGTATCAACCCTGCCTCAATGGGTCTTCCTATGGTCAGGGGTTAAAGGGCATGTCATTACGTTTGTAAACTTACATTCAAAATTTTATTGAACTACTATTATATGAATATATGTCAATACATTTGGTATCAAATTGTAGATTATAAATAAATTTTTTGTATTATACATTAATTAGTTTCTTAATTTAAAAGTAAATATTAAAAACAAATCCTATATATCAATTTTTTTGTGTCACGTGGTCTGTTGAATGCAGCTGTTGTTCAAATTAGAAGTTTGTGATGTCCAACTACAAAATCTATAGTTTCTTACAAATTAGAAACTCAAACTATTGATATTTACAAGCTAGAATATAATATAAAATCTTTTCTGTTTTCTGAGATACTATTATATTTACTGAATCAACTAAGGTGGCCCTGCCCTTCTCTTGCACTTTTGGAAATACTAGCTTACATACCCCTACTTTGCTCTCTGATGTGTGTATAACCAATTGAAAGCTCAGAATGTCCCCCATATATTTTTCTCAGCCTCTGCCAAGTGTTTATGTGGGAAAACCTTTCTTTTCATGATAGAATCACAGAGGAAAGGTAAAAGATTAATGGAGCTCAAAATATCATATTTCTTTATACCCAAATACAGGTTAGTCTGATAAATTATAGTGGATTTGTATGATATTGATATAGTAATTTATGTTTTTTTTTTATTATTTCCAAATGCATATATAAAACCTAAAATTATGCTTTATGGTTACTTTGGGGGATATGAGCTGGTTGGAATCCACCTACCCCTAATAAAAGGGTTAACAGATGTATACTGATATGAGTTTAAAGTTATTTAGGGTAAACAAATCTAGTTTCATGCTACAATTTGAAATCATTCTATTAAGTTTAAAAGGATAATTTCGATTTATTTTAATTTTTTTCGTGGTTATGAAGTTCATCAAATTGACCAACCTCATATAGAGTTAGGGTAGAAAAAATAACACATAAAATATAAAGTTTTATTAAAAAAGAACAAAAACATTTGAACTTTATTTAGGAGGTTTTAAAGATTATGCAAATGAAATTTGAGGTTTTTCAGATGAAGAAAAGTATTTTTAATCTTAACCTAAAACTCACTTTGCACTTGAAACAGTCAACACTTTGACTCCACATATTCATGGATAAATTTTTGTGAAGATGCATAAAATATATTAGAAGTTATAGTATGGAAACTCTAAAGGTCGATTTGGGGTCAATTTTAGGTCAAATCGACCAAGCCTATAGTGAGAGAGTTAATGGACAAATAAGGACACTTGGAAATTATGCCATGATTCATTACCAAAGTATAACTTAGAACCATAAATGAATGCTTTAAATTAACTTTAGATCTTTTAACTGAAATAAAAGCTACAGAGTCCATTACAGGAAGATGTTTAGAAAAGTCACTCACAAGTCTTAGGTTTTAAATGTCGCATGAGGCCTTCAAAGTGTCTGAAACTGATCCGTGTAGGATGAGCTCGATTAACTAAGAGATGGAAAGCATGCTGACAAGCTTTTCTTCTGTGTAGTAACAGCTTCCGAAACTTGTCTTTTTCAATCCAAGTAAATGTTTCATATACAACAGCCAATGTCTATTAAAAATGTAATGTACACAAGTTAGTCATTTGTCATGTAACTTGCATTTATAAATATATATATCTCAACACACACATACTTGAAATTAACAATGATATAACTATTTTATAATGTAATTTCACAAAAATTGGAATTAAACATTTCAACATTAAGGATAGTTATGAAGAAATTATACTCTTGAACTTATTTAACTGCCAAGAATTATTATTTTGTATAAAAATTAAAAATATGCACAAGTTAAATTAAAAAATTTTACTTGATATAAGAAACATTTTGGGTATAACAGAATTATCATATATTCCAAGGAACAGTACCACTTTGGTGTCATTAAAACCTGGTGGCTGGGAATTTCCACTGGCTATTTTCATTTACAGATCTCCTCTCCCCTCTTTAAATGTTTAAAATTTAAGTGTTTCATCCCTTACAGATCATTGGAAATAAGCAGTTTTCTTAACACATTGATAATTTTCCATGCAATTCATTCTCAGGCTGCTTGATATATGCAACACCTGAACTTGTGTACAAGTGACTTTGTTTTCACTTTTCCAGATAGGATAATGTTGCATACTTTTGCTTGGGACACATGGCCAACTTTTGCAACTCAGTTTTGTGTATGTGGATTATCATCTTTTACAAGATACCACACTCGGCTAACCAAACCATGGCTGAAGTAAAAGTTTACATTTTCCTATACAGGAAATGTATTTCTGATAATACTTACCTCCTTTCACACTTTAGCTTCATCCTGAGGAAATGTTCTCTTCTTTGCCCATCTATGCACTGGTATGAATTCAACCTAGCTTGCTCCAGTCTTTATCCTCATTATATTGTCCCTAGTAATTTTAATATTGTGACTCTCTCCATCTATGTCAATGCACCCTCTATACCCAATCCATATACAAGCTCTCCATTATTCTTTCTGTTTCACTTTTTCAAGACTGCAAGATTATCAGACCTGAACACCAGCTATTTTGGGGATGAAGGGTAGGATAGTGTGAGAGAAGGTAGGTATTGTTGGAAATACATTTTCATAACACGAAAATGTAAACTTCTGAAACACGCTTACCTCCACTTTAACTAAAATCCCACACTGACCAGGTGGAGGGGCCAGTGAGGGCAAGATCTACACAGAAACCATCTGTGTAGAAAAAAACAGGTGTGCAAAACTGAGATACAATAAAGCACACTAGTGGGAGGGTCTGAACTACTTCTGAAACAGGTATGCTCTTAGCCCAGATAAAGTGAAATCTAAACGTTGGCAGTAAAGTCCAACTGGTTACAAAGCCTAAATTGTTTATTATCATGAGATTCGTCAAGGCCCCAACCACACAGACAAGGTTCCACATCTTGTCGTTGGAATTACAGGCTGTGGATGCAAAGCTAGATATAAGGTTTTGTGGCTAGGGCATTGGGACTGCAAAATGATATAACTGTATAATAGGAATATGATATGAAGGGAACCCACACTGAAAGTTATAGAATGTTGCATTTCAAGCTACCGGAATTATAAAGATAAGGCAAGCAACACCTAAATGGACAAACCTCACTCCAACCTGAAGAAGCACAAAATGCAACAAACCAGACTCTGAATTACAGGCCCAGGCACCCAACCTGAAAGTTACAGAATGTCACATGTGAGCCACTGGAATTTTGAAGGGAAGACAAGCAACACCCAATTGAACAAGTCTTCCCCCTAACCTGAAGAAGTAGAAAATGCAACAAACCAAACTCAGAATTATGAAGCCAATTCACTCACTCAACCTGAAGAAACAGAGATCATCCAGCCTGGGATTACAAACTGAAATCCTAACTCCTCAACCTGGGAGGCAAGGCAACACCTCCTGAATTACGATGAGGATGTGGAACAAATGAATTTCAACAAATGGTTCATGGACATGAAAAAGGGTACAGGAGGCAGAATGTCCATCTGAGGTTCAAGAGTAGCTGTTTGAGCAAAGGAAGGTGCTGGAAAGAAAGAAGTCTAAATTCTCACTTGACCACTCTTGATCTCCCACAAACTCAGCCTCAGAGGCAACAGGTGAAAAAGCATCAGAACACATGTAAGACTCTAGTTCTCTGTGTATAAGGAACTGTATGTCATCGTACCCAAAACTCATTCACATTCCTATGTTTACCAATGCCATTTAATCCTTTCTGCAGAAGCATTGGTCCAGTGTATGTCCTGACATTTTACAGTTACATTCAAGTTTTAATTAAACAACTTCATTACAAAAATATGTCAATAAAATTGACATCAGAACACAGTTTATAATTTCAATTTTTAAATTATCTAAGTTTTAATTTCTTAATTTCAATAAAAATTATTTCTAAAAAATTTCAATTTTACTTATGTTGTTTTGTCATATGCAGGAGTTCTCAATTCTCCCTTTCAACTTGTATTGTTAAAAACAGAACAATCATTACCATGCACAACGCAGACATGGATGTATATGTGGCAAAATAATAAATATTTGTACTTTTAAGCTCATGACTGCTAAGTATGTTAAGGGAAGAAATATTTGGGACTACAATATTCTTAATGTCCACAAAACTATAAGATATTCAAAAACAAAATTCAAATTTTAAATGATATCATACTTGCATACCTCAAGAATGATACACCTGGCAAGGAAGGGATTTATCTAAATAAATTTAAATTAATGTTTTCACTATGAGGTAAGTTTTATAAATTTTTTTATTAATTGTAAGACAATTTTACTCATTTAATGAAAACTCATACTATAAGAGATCGATTAATATGCATATAAATTTATGTGTAAAAAAAATAAAATAAAAAGAGAAATACGTGCCATGTTCATAAAAAAAAAAAAGAGAAAAAGAGAAATACGTGCCATGTTCATGATGAAGTACAGGTGAATGATCAGAAATACAATGAAGAATATAGCTGACCAGCGGGAAGCAGCATAAGCTGGCATCATGATGTCAGGAAAGCTTACGAAAAGAAAAAAAATTTGCCATAAATTTTTCTTGACCAATAACATAATTCATCTGCATTTATACTAAGCTATTCCAAAATTACAAATTTTAACTGGTATCTTTAATGAATGTGAAAATTAATTTCAAGTTTATTTTCATTTAATTGCATATAGCATTGATTGCAGAATTTGATGGTACAAGTATTTCATTTTCAAATAATATAACCTGTAATGCACTTATTTATTTATATCTTCAGTTTTATGGTGTTTAATAATGTTATGGTTAATATCTTCATTGAATATTGCTATAGAAATCCTTATTAAGTTAAATCAAAATTTTATGCTCACTTCAATTTTCAGTGTGACTGACTAGAGATGGATCATTGGCATCTCTGTTTTCAGTCACCAGTTTTCAAAATTTAACATTAACTGGCTAATGGTTGAGGGGGTATTTTCAAAAGAGCAGAATGTGCTGATGTAGGTAGTAAAAATGTGTGATGTTTTTTTATTCTCTCTCAAATGTTTCTTTATATCCTTAGAATAAGATACAAAAACTGATCTTCTAAAGCAAATTTTCTGAGATGAAGATGTAGTAATCATACTTTACAGTTTTTTCGTTGTTGGTAGAGGGTCAATCTTAAATTACAAAAAATATGCAAGTCAAATGTTGAGTTTTTTGAATATTGGAAAAAAACAGAATTAATACAAATATTTTTTGAATTTAAACAAAAGTAATAGTAACCAAACAGAAAGTAAATAGTATAAAAAAACAATAGTTTCTTGAATAATGAAATTAGATATAAAACTAGAATAACAAATTAGAAGCTTCAATGTATTAAATAATGATTCTAAAAATATCTTATACAAGTTAATTTCATACAGACATACACTTAACTGAGAAGAAGATTTATACATTTAATGATTTAAAGAACAGAAATGGATATCTCAAAAGGTTTATAGAAGACATGGATAAAGTATACATAACGTAATAGACTATAATATTTCACAATTAGAAAAGGTAAAAATAAATAATACCTTTTTTTCTAGAATAACTTCAGATTGTAACACACAATTACAATTATTTAAAGCTTCTGACCTTTTCACAAATGTTTTAATTCTGTGGTTTTAGTACAATACTTTTGTACCTTCTTTCTGCATGAAAAGCAAATAATTGCAACAGAATGTTTCCAGCAAAGCTTAGGGTAAACAAGTGATCATGTTGCAGGTACATGCATATTACAAGAGCTTTCTTAGTTTCTCATCAACTTACATTTTAAGATTTGTTAGGAATCTAACCTAACAAATTTCTAACTTTTATATCTTAGCTATTTTTGATAAAAAATATATAATGAATAAAAAATGAAAATAAATAAACAAGAAATTTAGCACTACAGCATTTGAGATCACTTGCACTTGAATTCTGTGGTTCAGTAACTGTACTTTTTCTCACTATGTTGGTAGTTCACAAAATTATGTAGTTTTTCAGATATGCATTTTATAACACAAAAATATATCAGGCACTAGAAAAAAGTTTCCCCAAAAAATGATATGATTTATCCGGATTTCTAAGATATAAATAGGTTAAACAAATTCTGTTACTGCTAAGAGCAACAATTTCACTCAACATGCATGAAGCTTTTCTTGTGAACTATAGTTTTTAACTATCAAATATAAACAAACAATATTAAAATTCCAGTACATTAGGATAGAGTGTATAGGTTAAAAACATCCATCAGACAAGTAGACGTGAAGTAGATAATTCATTTGAAAACTATAGAGAAATGCGAAGTAGCTTCTCTGGTAGGTTTGACAAATTTTTTGATATATCAGCAAATTGAGAAGATAAGGTACTCAAATCTTATATTCTTGCTTGTCATTATGAATAGTTTGTGTTTCATATTACTGAAGTTATAAAATCTAAAGGGGAGTGAAAATGTGTCATGTCACACAGAGGATTGAATGTTGCATATTTTTTAAACATTTCCTTTTGAAATTAAGAAATTAATGCTTAGATAATATAAAAAATTGCATTATAAACTATGTCTTGATGCCAAATATATTTAAATTGATAATAAAGTTGTATAATTCAATTTTGAATGCAACTCTGCAACAAGGTTGTGACATGGACAATCTGACCCACCCTTACACATAGGGTGTCCTAAATGGTTTATAAATGAAATATTATTTCTGTTATTTAATTCATTAATATTCACAGTTTAACAAGTGCAAATTACTTTTACACATGTTAATATCTAAATCTAAGGATTTAAAAAAAATATGGTAAAAAGTAGCACCTTTAATAATATTAAACATGTTAGCTTTGGCAAAAAAAGAATGCATAATGAAACATTTAACTAAATTCTTCAAGTAAAAACAAAAACGAAGTTTCTATCCTCAATAATAAATATTTAGCGTGTTGTTGTGTCAATACCTATGCAATTTGTTATTGTAGGTACTTCTAAAATCAACAAAGGTGCTGTTTTTGAAACTATTGTTATTAATTATACCAAATGAAACATAAATTAATTTTCGGTTGAAAGCATGTTGTCTGAGAAGCTCAAATGATAAGCTTGCAAGGTTCTGTACAAAGATATTTTGTATTAATATGATAAAGAACAGAGCTGGACAAAATCTAAAAACAAAACTTTTGCTAATGACAATATAACATTTAGATCAATGTCCTTCCTACTTCACTTTAAAACAAAAACAAATTTTAAACAAAACATCCATGTATACCTCATATCTAACATGCTCTTATTCATATACCAGGTAAAATACATGGCTAGAAATGTTACTGAATGACACATTAATTACGATGCATGATCAGGCAAACAGCATCAGATGTTGCAAATTATTAATAATGATAAGTGTGAGAACTAACAGATATTAATTATTTTTGAAAAGCATTTTTTAACAAGTAGCCTTATTTTTCTAATTAAAATAATACTATGTTTTATATTTAACCCTTTTTTAAACTGGGGTAAATGTGACTGATATCTCTTGATTTTTTTTTCCTTTCTCACAGTGGAAATACTTACCAAGCTACTATACAATTAACCCTCTCCAGACGGGTCACAGGTCAAAAACCATGTCATCACGTCTGTTGACTCGCATTCAAAATTTTATTGAACTACTATTTCACTAATTTATGTCAATAAGTTTGGTATTAAACTGTAGATTATAATTCAAATTTTCATATTATACATTATTTAATATCTTTATATATAAGTAAATATTAAAAAAAACACACCTAAACATCAATTTCTGTGTGTCATGTGGCATGTTGAATGCAGCACTGGCTCAAATTAGATGTTTGTGATGTCAAAATACAATATATATATATACTGTAGTTTTGTACAAATTAAGAACTCAAATTACCGATATTGACAAGCTAGAATATAAAATAAGAACCTCCTATGTTTTCTGTTTGCTGAGATATTGCTCATGTACTGAAGCAAACACAGTGGCCTTGCTCACCTCTTTCCATTTTTGGAAACGGTCCCTTATATACATTTACTTCAATATATGACATGTGAATAACCAATCAAAAGCTCAGAATTTCCCCTAGTGTCTTTCTCAGTAATTTTAAAGTGTTAGGACTCGATATCGTTCTTTCGACCCAAATACAGCTTAGTTACTAAGCTTGATAAATTATAGTGGAATTCTGTGGTATCAATATAGTAACTTATGATATTTTGGTTATTCAACTATATATATAAAACCTCAAAAAAATTATTTCATTTCATATCCTCCACGCGCAAAATTTTAAAAGGCTTAGCAAGCTCCAACAAGCAGCAACTGAGTACAAAGGTTGTATCTAGAAGTGATAATTGTTTGCTTTACTTCTTTATTTGTTTGAAGTTAAGCACAAAGCTACACAATGGGCTATCTGCTCTGCCACTGTGCCACTGGAGGGCTTGTGAAATGCACTAAATAAATATTACAAAATGACATCTATCAATTTGAAATATTTTTGAGTTAAAAATTGCTGAGTGTTAGAATTGTTATTTTTACTTAAATTTTGAAATTTGATATGCAGATGTGCACTTAACACCTGAAAAGTGCTCATCACTTCAGATAGGGTTGATAATCTAAAAAAAAACATGCATTTATAGGGACACTGTAACATTTCTGTAGATAATGTTCCCAAATGTTCACAAGATCATTAAGAATTCTAAGAAGGTGTAGTTGCTATGCTTAACATTTAATGAAGAAACACCACTATAACAAAAAGCAAAAAAAAAAGAACAAGCACATAAAAAATAGTCATTTCCAGCTGAATGTAAATATAGTGGAGAAGGTTTACATTACTTTCAATCAATATTTAATATTTCTGCTAACAGTATTTTACAATAACATAAACATAGTTACTTACTTTGCGGTAGTAAGTAAAACAAACAGGTTGACAAAACTTCCTTGCAATGTTGAGAAATACTGTAAGATACATTTCATGCTATCAGTTTTCAGTGAAATATAGTTACATATACACACATTAATTTGCTTATTCTACAAGTTAGTATAACTCACTTTTATTTAGAAAATCTCAAGTCACAAAATAAATGCAACTTGAAACAATTATCTATTTAATGGGTACAACATACAGAGAACATAAAAATGCAAGCAAAAACAGGTAAAAAACATGGAAATCTTAATCTTGAATCAAACAGGTGTATGGGCATTCAAGTGTAAACACACCAATTTGAGTTTAGATTATCTCAATTTACACTATTTTTTCCTTGTCAAAATTAAAGTTTAACAAGTATCAATAGATAAATATAACTTTACTATTCATATGCACTGCACAGTTTCATTTGGAAGAAATACATTCATCATAAAAAGTTACAACATTATGGACAAGCTTCAATATACTTTTTCCATATGTATTTAAAGCTTTGAAAATGGACTATTGTGTTGCTGTTGTACATTTTGTATATAAGAACACAATCACTTTAATAAAGTTGAAATCCACACTAATGGAACAATACCAAATCTAAATGGAAACTAATTTTGATATTTCACATGTGCTCTTTAGTCCAACATGGTAGTTTTTACATGGTAGTTTTTGCAACCACTTCACTTATCTAACCAACAAAACAGACAATCTGAAAAGTTTCATTGATCAGTGTTCATCGTAAACTGTCGATGGTTGTAAATAAATTCAAACTATTATTATCCAACAGAGATCACAAAGATCAAGATCTATAATAATAAGTATTCTACATGAACTTCAAAATCTTCATAAAATATTAATGTCTAACATATTTTTGTTATAAATGCTTCCATGACAAACACTCTGATCATGCAACTTTAAATATACTTAACAACATGTTTCAAATAAAAATTAACAAATGGAGTACCATAAACACTGTAATGCTTTATAGCTGATTCATGTAATGTAACCCATAAAGCCTTCCAACACTTTTTGTGCATGAAAAATATTTTATATTCTTTTTAAGTCTTACAACTTCACTTTTAGCCTGACACATCCTAAACTAACAAAATGTGTAGTGTGTTTTCAGAGTTGTGATATAATAAAAAGCTTGTCAAAGGATGTCTAACAAATTATAAAGATTCCTCATCTAGTGGTGAATTGCCAACTACTTATATCTAAAAGTTAATCTCATAATTATTAATACATTTTTTACTGAAGTAACAAGCTTAAAAACTAGGTGATGTTACTTCCTGTCCTAAATCTCTAATTATAATATTTCAATGTTTTTCACTGTATTCTGTTGGTATGGATTGTTTTATAATTTGCTTTTCTACATTACCCACTTGCCCTTTCATATGGATATTGAAGTTCCTAGTTGATTGGCCAACGTAAACCAGAGGTGTAGGGAGTGGAAAATTTATATTTATTCTCATTCCATACTGGTGAGGCAGGGAAGGAACAAACTGACAAATTGTTTTCATTCTTATTCTATATCAGGACAGCAGGAGAGGAATTTTTTGTTTTTATTCTTTTTACAAATTGGAGTTAGTTAGGTATGGGATGAAATTATTGAGGAATTTTTGTATTTGTTTAACCCTTTCAGCATGGGATTGGTCCCTGGGACTGACTTTGTAACCATTTTGGGCTTGTTATAGTTTTCATGCTATAACTTTTAAATTAGTAAGCATATTGTTACGTCTCTGTATGTTTGTTTGTTAATTATTCTAAGATACAAGTCCTTTCTTTATAAAACTTGTTTATTCTTCCTCAATACAACTTTGTAATGCACTTAATTTTCACAGTTACACACGCTATAGTTCACAACAATTCACTCACTTTCTATCGCGCTTAGACTTAATTGTCCGTCCCCACAAACTATAGTTCCAAGCTTTGTGTCTGCTATCCTCAGTTCCCGCCGACCGTAATCACTGTCTTTCTTTCTCTCTGCCTGCTTCGTCTCTGTCTCCACTACTGCTTCGACTCCGTCTGTCTCTCTCACTGTCTAGCGCACTTATATACGATAATACTGCCTGTTCTAGACACTTCTAAGACTCTCAACAGGTGCTACTAGCGTCAATTGACTCCCACTGTCACAACACACTAGTGAATCTTCTAGAATATTCGTCACGTGACCCCGCTGTCATAACACACTAGCGAATCTTCTAGAATACTCGTCATGTGACCCCCACTGTCGTAACACTGCCCCTTCCTTAGTATTGTTCGTCTAGAACAATAGCCACTTACATTAAACTAATAAACAATTAACAATAACTTACTTAAATGTACGGAATTTACAAACACGAAATTAAAATTCA